GTAAGTTAATTGCAATATTGGCTATGCTGTTAGATTTATAACCAATTAAGCATCGTGCGAAAGAGGTCCAAAATCCATTTTTGTTTAATTTTCTTTTAATATTAAAAAAACACCACTGAGTTCTAAAAACTTAAAACATATAGTTTGAAACTCTTAAATAGATCAGCCTTACTTGCGTTAATTGTTATACATCTATCATAATCTTAATCCATTATCAAAATATTATTGAACAAATATTGACATTTCTAAAGAATTAAAAAATAATGCACAATGTACATTCAAAAAAGAAAGGTAATAATTAAGAAATATACATAGCAATAGATTGCAAAATCATATTTTTGTGCTATTCTAATTCTGATTTGAGTAAAAGGAATGGTAATGAATTTTCAATTGTGGGTCACATAAAAATCATACAGTATTTATTATTTCTGAAATATTATTATTTTGGTATAGATATTACAACCATGTTAAACCTACAATATTTCAAAGAACTACTAGGACTAATATATAAGTTGAGAGCCTTATTTGACACGTTGTTTACTCTTTGCAAGCCTGGGAACTGTGGAAAGTCAAAGATGCAAATAAAGACTTGTAGTGCAGAAAGTCTAGGAATGCAGATTTCAAAGAAAAGACAGCATGCTTGGGAACCGCAAAAAGTCAAGAAAACAACGATATAACTCCTGGAATTGAAGCTAGTCTAGTTAATCCGAAAGTGTAAATAGTAAAAAAAAAAATGCAGCGAAACTTGGCATCGTAGCAAATCTTGACAATGCAGTAAGTCTATGAATGGAAACAAGTCTAGGAATAATGGACAGACGGGCAGCAAGTCCAGAAAATACAGTAAATCAAAAAAAAAGCAACATGCCTAGAAACTGTAGCAAGTCTAGCAATAACAGCAAATCAAGAAAATGCAGCAATCTAAGAAATAAAGTTAGAATATGCAACACGTCTAGGAATCACAACAAGTCAAGTAAATGTATACTATTGAAATTGCTATAAGTCTAGGAAAGGCGGAAAGTCTATGAGAGATGCACTTCTAGGAAATACAGCAAGTGCAGGAATTGTAACAGGTCAAGAACTCGAAGAAAGGTTATGAAGATCTGCAAGTATAATATGTCTAGTAAGCAAAGTAAGAATCAGAGCAGGAGCAAGCCAATAAACTTCAACAAGTCTGTGAAATAAAAAAAATGCAGAGTTTATCAAGCTCTTGAAATCAATAGTAAATATAACAAGTTTAGCATACCCAGGAAGTGTAGTAAACTAAACGACTTCAGTCTTGTAAACATAACAAGCCTTACAATCGCATTACAATATTCACAGCAAGTCTATGAAAAATCTTGGAAACGTAGCAAATGATAAAAGTCAAGAAAGTGAAGAAGCACATCAATTCAAATGTATGGAGCGGGACTCCGGACTATCGATCCAGTATCACTACATCAAAGCGGCCGTTGCGTTTCCTTCGTGCTATTTGGCTTTATTACATACTTATAACTAAAATATTGAGAAATATCGATGAAATAAAATGCGTTTGAGGGGAGATTCTTTACAAGCAATATGAAGATGAAGTAATATGGAAATTGCAGACGTAGACTCGGTTTGATTGACCCAAATCATGAGATAAATTAAAAGGTAAAACGTCTCTCACGTCCCCTATATCACTTGTGTAAGAGGTATTCAGCCCTTAAAACTAAATGTGCTGAAAAAATTATCCCTAACAACAGATCAATATTACGGTGATTTTAATCTATCGGAAGCATCAATCACAATAAAATTACATGAAAATTGCAGACTCGGTTGAATTACAACTAACTGTAATTGTAACATTAAATTGGAGTATCTGGCAACATATTACAGCTGCAACACGGCACTGTTTCCTTTCAATAAATTATCAGTTCAATTAAAGCTAACTGTTAGCAAATATAAAGCTTTTTAACTGGATAGGTTCAATTGTTTTATTTGCCTATCAATACTTTCTTTAATAAATACAAAAATGTATCTATTTTTAATAATACTCATTATAATGTGATCAAAATTAAAGAATGTTTTACCTGATATAATATTGAACTAGTTGCCATAGTTTAATTAATAACAGAACTTAAATATTGTACACCAAAAACGAATTCTTTACTTTCGATACACTTTAAACAAGTAAACACGACCGTCGTTTATTTTGTATCACACCGCTGTAGTATACAATCAATCTAGGTATATTTTGTAGTTGCTTAGCTAGTAATTTGCTGATTTGTATGACATATAAAATAATATGCGTTAAAGTCGCATGTTTTTAATGCTACATGTATAAGAGTCACCAATTTATTCTGGTTTCAATGTGTACTCTAATCATTTATTATTAAAATGGCTTCAATGCAATTGCATAATTTCTGTAAATTATATACATGTTACTTGATATTATTTAAATTGGTCAAGTATGGTGACTGATTTGTGCCTTGCCGGGCGAAATTATGACATTGTCGTATTTTTCGCCTGACGGCCCAGGGATCGAAAATACGAAGCTAAGTCGTGGCCACGAGATACTCTGTCGTGGCCACGAGTTAGCTTTGTCGTGGCCACGAGATACTAAGTCGTGGCCACGAGATAGCTAAGTCGTAAACAAGGGTAACAGGCCGTAGTACGTACAAACTGACCGATTCGATCACAAAATTGGAGCTAATGTCAAAATTAATGTATTATTGGCCTTGGCATAGACTTTCTAATATATTCAAAGTGAATATCTTCAGTATTTTCAAAGATTAATGTTGCATGTAAAAATAAGTTGTTAAGTTTAAAAAAAATCATAATATATATAGTGTATTCTGATTGGTTAATTATCTCGTGGCCACGACTTAGCTATCTCGTTCGGGGACCACGACTTAGTAATTCGGGGCCACGACATATAGTATCTCGTAGCCATGACTTAGCTATCTCGTGACCACGACTTAGTAACTCATGGCCATGAGATAAATAAAAATACACACATGACACCTTTGTGCCACGCTACATTGGGGCAAGGCTAATAACTTAATTATCTTGGCAATTTAAAACTTATCAACCGTGCAATGTAACTAGATTAACTTTGTTGAAAATGACAAAATTAATGGTAGTTTAGACAGACACGGCTATAAAAGTACAACGGCGCTTTTAAGGTCATTGAGCAGGAAAATTTACGTTCGTTGCTTAGTACTTTGTTGATTATAGGAACGGATTCAAGAGTGTTTCAATAAGCTTATAGCTTCCAAAACAATCGAACTAAAATAAGTTTGTATAAAAAAAACTGCTTAGAGATTGAAAGTATAGGATATATTCTAACACGACCCGCATTTTTCACTAACCGAAAGCGTGTGATGTTCTATATTTAGATATGTGACGTAACCACTAAGAATTCTGACGCGCGGGCGCAATTTTGCTTGATATCTGGTACGGCAGCATTTATTCGTTGATGTCGTGTTAGAATCCAAATCGGGGTAACATCGTTGTTTGTCTTTCGGATGCGCATCATTATATCACTCGGGAAATATTTCGTCGCATCCAAACTCCAAACAGCGATGTTATTGAGCGATAAAATCACAGTTTGGGATATATTATTTTTTAACTAAACCCTTACAGTGCTGATACAAAAGGGATATTCTCATGATTAAGATGAATTCACGTTGATATTTTAAAATAAATAAATAAATGAGCATTATTAGGAATGAAAAATCATTCTTTGTTATTTAAATTTTAATGTTTCACTTCAATTATTTAAATTTAAATGTTACATTTCAATTATTTAAATTTTAATGTAACAATGACGATAAAATTTGTTCCAACCTTTTGATATGTTCATATAAGATTAAGGTTGTTAACATCGGTATATTAGTTTGTGTAAACATCTTGTACTCGTACATAATAAATATTTGCCTGATGGATTTAAAATCAAAGTTACACGTTTTTATATATTGTTTATTTTGCTTTTCAACCTTTAACATTAGAACATCATTCATATCGTGACACACTTCTCTCAAAATGACTTTAATGTTAAATTGATTTTTTTTCGTTAAAGTGAAGTATGGTTAGTTACGAGCATATAACAGTGGCTGGGAGACATCGGGGGATGTTATAAAAATGTCGCGGCCGAGAGGCCGAGACGATTTTTTCTGTGCAAAAAACTTCCCGAGATGTTGCCCAAGCCAGTGTTTTGCCCCCTTAACTAACAAGTTTTATATTTATATTTTAACTGTTTTATCGCAATTCCATAATTTTTAAAACAGAAATCAGCACAAAATTACTATGTTCAGTGCTTTTACCCACTGGCGTTTGGCACATTTGCCATGCCATAATGGTTAAATTATCATAAAATAATCACCCCTTGATCATCAAGAACAAAATTACCATCCAGCACCCATTTACTATATATATAAAATATATGCAAGGTATATAACTCGCTGTATAGTGTATTCCATCGACACCGTCTACATTTTGCTTGTATGCTAACCGTAGATAAAATACCCCACTACCAGCTATGTTTTTTTGCTACTGGGAAATCAGGTATACCACATTCCAACTTCTGTAAAAACTACACTGATGTAACAGAAACTCAACTTATATATTAGCTAAGATTTTTTTTCTATATGAAACAATTAAAAAATACTGTTATATATTGATACAGTTTTCAAATCCTTATTTTTTGAAGTTTACTGTTATAATGGGCTATACGAGTAAGCCATGCTGTTATATAATTTTTTTACAGTATACATGTTGTTTATGTACGAAATCAATGACACACGGAAATGTGAAAAGTTGATAATAATACACGTACATTTTTGCAATTATATTTTGTTTTATCCATTTTTTACCTAATTGCATAGATCGTTATATATTTTCATGTTTTTATGATGTTTTTGTGTTATCACTATTTGCCTTATTCATTAGGATGTCTCCTTAGAAATGCAATGAACTTTTCCCACATGTAGATTACTCATCATTCTGGGAGTAGCAGAAAAACACAACAAATTCATATTTAGTTGACAGCTTGTACATGTACAGTAGATGTACCAATTTATATGTATAACAAACAGGACATTTAATCAGATACATAGATAGCTATCCTCGTAACCGACGATGTAAATGCAAAAGTTTACGATAAATAGATAAAGGCGAAACTTGAGGTGTTTTACTGTCTCGGATGTGAAGATATCGGGGGAACACGAGGTAAACCATTTTTTGTTAATTTATGCTAATACACATCAATTTATATGCAATGAATGTCTTTTATGTCAGGTTTGAATGTAAACTTTGCTGTTAGATATCCGTCGATACAGTACAATTACCTATTGCTTGTTTACAAATAAGCTTATTTGTATATACATTGTTCAAATAACTACAAATTAATCAAAATAATATTTTTTTCTCATTAAAATTATAGTTTCAAAATCTACTTCATTGGTTATACATTAAATTTGTCTTTGAACCTTACATTCGACTTAAAATATTGCTTGTAAAATTCATCATATTTCATATTTATCGGGTTAATATAAGCGATTTTTTTCTAAAAAAATCATTATTTTTAATGGGATAAAGTGCAAAGCCCATTCATCCTAGTGAGTGGCCCATGCCCGAGAACCTTTTTTTTTTATGAAAATCAGCATTTTTTTCATTTAATTATAGTGTAACCGCGTGTAACGCTGTGGTTACATGATAAACGTTAGTATGGAAAGACGTGACTGTATAGCATAATTTTTGTTTACCGTTTACCTGAACTTTTTTAACTCACCTACATAAATTATCTACAACTTTCGTTTTCTATTTTGATTCTCAGAATTGGCTTCTATAAATAGAAATCCGAAGGATTAAATAATACCATTTAATTGAATCCAATTAATCAATTTGATTAAATATTTCAAATATCAGATATGTCGTTAGCGTTTTACGTCAAAGAAATATAAACAACAAATTATTTTGGCAATTTTATGTCTTAAGCGATCAAATGATATAAGCGACATTGCTGGTGGTGTCGATCATTATTGAAAATATTAAAAAGGTTAGTGGAGATACATCCCGGAAATTTTCTTTTATATTATTGCAGTAAGCATAATATATGAAAATAAAACGATTCAATGATATATTGTGGATTACCTGAATAATAATCCGGTCCGATGCACAGGTAGGTCACAGGAGCTTAAATCGATTTTTGAATGAATTATTTCAATTTTCATCTCGTATATTACTATACTGTACCCACTGCGTGTGTCTTTTTAAAAAATATTCCCTCTGGAGGCATAATTGCATTTGCATCTACAAATGCAATTTTGACCTCCAGGGAATATTTTAAATATGACTTGTCTAAAAGACACACACTTCAAATAACTAAGCTCTGTTTGTTTATTCATTGGAATATTATTGGTTTTAATTACTTATTGTGTTTTTTTTTTGCTCGTATATGCAACTTACTTGATATATAAACACTTGACCTATCTAGGGTAAAATGCCCACATGGCTTTTCACTTCTGAAATTTAACTAGAGACTACAAAGGATTTACAATTATTTCCTAATGATCCAGTTCATGAGCCTAATGATCCAGTTCATGAGCATATAAATAACTTCCTGGTTCAAAAATAGAATGTTGTAACCGTTACATAGACTTGTTGTATTATTAGCTTCCGTTACAAATATTCACGCCTTGTGATTTTCAGTTTTTCAAGCTTTAGCTCACGTATTTGGGCATTTTATGAAATGTTATTTCACATTTGATAACCTTAAAATACAACTATTGACTCTTAATTTATTTTTGCGAAACATAGGTCAAGTCTTATAATATTGCAGTAATAATCAAGTGATCAACTTTTAAGATTGTTGTTTTCCGTTTTCAAAAGGGGACCACTTGAATATTTAATCATTTAATAAGACAACTTTGACCTTTTATGACTTTTAATATTATGTAATGACTTTCGTTACTGTAGACATCACAAGTAATTCTGTAGCATGTATCATGAGCGATTTTTTACCGAGTACATACATGACTATCAGTTTATTAAAGGTGCCATGTTTATAAAAAATGAACGACAAATAAGTTAAAATAAAATTTCGTTCAGGCATTTAGAAATGATTCATTTCATTACATCTATTATCAAAATTACGAAAAAAAGCAATTTCTGTGTGTGTTTTTATAACTGACTTTCATAAGAGGTAACATTGACATCGGTTTCATAAAAACCCAAGTCTATTAATAGCACTTTCTATATAATTAAGTGTGCCTGCAAAGGTTTATTTAAATTTTGCACTGTCGATTGCATTCTCCCTGTGCGGTGCCCCTCTCTTGATTATTTGTTAGACAAACAAATATCCTTAAACTAATGTATAAACACAAATCACACTTTCCATCCATTTTTTCTAAATTTCAAGTCATTTGAATGCATGGTTGTTGTCGGGATTATTCTCTATTTCTGGTCTTTATAAACTGAATGTCACTCTATCATTTGTATGCAGTTATCTTAGTTTCTTTCACTCTAAATGAAACTAACCATGGAACATATTTCAAGTTTTACTTTTTAGTAACGAAAACTCTTTCGCCACACTTCCGATTAGCCAATTATTTGATGTAACATTCCTTATTTGTACTCTTTTTTGCACGAATTCGTGAAACTGATTATATTCGATCTAAGTAAGATATGTATTCAGGGTAGAAATTCAAGTACTCACTGCATATTCAAGGTCATAAAAGGTCAAATATTGTTATTAAACACTTAAGTGTAAAAAAAGAATAAAATGTAAATCATTATTTTTATCTTTATTGCAGTAAGAATGGTTATGGATGAAGAAGACTTTAATTTCTACAGATTATGGAAGATTGAGAACAATGGTACACTTCCAGCATTAATTGATTTGTTTGAAACACTATGGGTAAGAACATATCCTGATATACCCTGGGAAAAAGACGCTGAAAGTGTTAAACAGTTTGAGGAAAAAGATGAGGAACTATTTCAACAAAGCATTGGAGGACACCGCGAAATGTCGAGAAGAGTTACAAATCGAAAACAAAGGCAAAAACTTTTCAGGGACTCCAACTGGTCTAGTTATAAATGGGATGTCAGCAAAGTTGCTCATGCTCTTATTGACTCGAAATTGTTTGACATGACAATGTGCGATGACCATGGAATGGAAGTCAGTGAACACGTTGTGAAAATAAAAGGCATTCGTAACGAATCGGCACACTCAGTACCAGGACACTACACGGCAGATTATTTTAAGAAAACAGTTGACGAGTTGAAAACTCATATAATAGCACTGGAACAAGCAGGTATCAGTGTGGGTCAGTATATTGCTAAAGTAGAGCAGATTGTATTATTTACTAAACCAGCTGATGGACAGGAGCTGGAGTCGTTAAAAAAAGAATGTGAAAGCCTTAAAATCTTGCAACAGGTAAATAAAGAAAAAGAGAAAAGATACATTCTGCTCGAACAAACAATTACTGATAATGAACGCATTTCGGAGAGAATCGACAATTTATTGCAAGAAAGGGACTCTTTAATGAAACTTCTATCAAATAAACATTCAGTGGAAATCGACGAACTGAAATCTCGCATTGAAGAAGAATTAAAAGACTGGATAGAGAAATATTCAGTAGCTTGTCAGAAACATCATGCTGATTATGATTATCTAGAACAAGTAACTGACGAGCTGATTACATCACATACTAACAAACCTGATGTACTTCAGAAACAAAATAGTTTTCTTAGAGATGTCATTGTAAGTACACATAACAAGCATAGTAATGAAATGGAAACTCTTCGATCAGAAGTAGCCTCATTGAAACATACGATTATTAACATCGACTCTGAAGATTTTGAAAATATCAATTACAGACAAAAGGAAAAAGAAGTCTTAGAGCTAAAGTTCTTTAACGATCCTAGATATTACGTATCGTTTATAGTCGTTCTAATTGTTTTTGTGATTTATAGTTTTAGTTTGGGCGGACAATGATAATTATGGGCAGCAGTTTACTTTGATTTACTGAAACGTCATCGAAGGTTATATATCATACAAACGTTTTAAATCAGCCACCAAACCTGAACAAAAGCTTATATACTGATACAACTGTCATAAACGAGAACAATTTCATTAGACACTTTGCCTTCCATTTTATCGAATTGTGTTAAACTATTTGATCTGCTTTGTGTATATTGTAAATTGAAACTTGAACATGTATATATATTCTGAGAAATAAAATATGTATAAACTAAACTAAAGAGGCAACCAGTGATTAAATCATCATAATGCACGACGAGTCGACCAGTGATTACATCACCAAAATGCATGACGAGGCGACCAGTGATTACATCACCATAATGCACGAGGAGGCGACCAGTGATAATATCACCATAATGCACGACGAGGCGACCAGTGATAATATCACAATAATGCACGACGAGGCGACCAGTGATTATATCACCATTATGCACGAAGAGGCAACCAGTGATTATATCATCATAATGCACGTAGAGGCAACCATGTGATTATATCACCATAAAACACGAAGAGGCGACCAGTGATTACATCACCGTAATGCACGAAGAAGCGACCAGTGATTACATCACCATAATACAGGAAGAGGCGACCAGTGATTACATCACATAATGCACGAAGAGTCGACAGTGCTTACATCACCATAATACAGAAGAGGCGACCAGTGATTACATCACATAATTCATGACGAGGCGACCTGTGATTACATCACCATAATACAGGAAGGGGGCAACCAGTGATTACATCACTATAATGCACGACGAGGCGACCAGTGATTACATCACCATAATACACGAAGAGACGACCAGTGATTACACAACCATAATGCACGAAGAGTCGACCAGTGCTTACATCACCATAATACAGGAAGAGGCGACCAGTGATTACATCACCATAATGCACGAAGAGGTGACTAGTGATTTCATCACCATAATGCACGAAGAGGCAATCAGTGATTACATCACCATAATGCATGACGAGGCGACCAGTGATTACATTCACCATAATGCAAGAAGAGGCCACCAGTGATTACATTCAACATAATGCACGAAGAGGCAATTAGTGATTACATCACCATAAGGCACAAAGAGGCAACCAGTGATTACATCACCATAATTCACGAAGAGGCAACCAGTGCTTACATCACCATAATGCACGAAGAGGCAACCAGTGATTATATCACCATAATGCACGAAGACGCAACCAGTGATTATATTACCATAATGCACGAAGAGGCAACCAGTGATTACATCAACATATTGCACGAAGACGCAACCAGTGATTACATCACCATAATGCACGAAGAGGCAACCAGTGATTACATCACCATAATGCACGAAGAGGTAATCAGTGATTACATCACCATAATGCACGAAGAGGCGACCATTGACCATAATGCATGACGAGGCGACCAGTGATTACATTCACCATAATGCAAGAAGAGGCGACCAGTGATTACATTCACCATAATGCACGAAGAGGCAACTAGTGATTACATCACCATAATGCACGAAGAGGCGACCAGTGATTATATCACCATAATGCACGTAGAGGCAAAGGTGATTATATCACCATAATGCACGAAGAGGCGACCAGTGATTATATCACCATAATGCAACGAAGAGCAACCAGTGATTACATCACCATAATGCACAAAGAGGCAACCAGTGATTATATCACCATAATTCACGAAGAGGCAACCAGTGATTATATCATCTTAATGCACGAAGAGGCGACAGTGATTACATCACCATAATGCATGACGAGGCGACCAGTGATTACAATCACCATAATACACGAAGAGGCAATTAGTGATTACATCACCATAATGCACGAAGAGGCGACAAGTGATTACATCACCATAATGCTCGAAAAGGCGACTAGTGATTATATCACCATAATGCACAAAGAGGCAACCAGTGATTATATCACCATAATTCACGAAGAGGCAACCAGTGATTATATCATCTTAATGCACGAAGAGGCGACCAGTGATTACATCACCATAATGCATGACGAGGCGACCAGTGATTACATTCACCATAATGCAAGAAGAGGCGACCAGTGATTACATTCACCATAATGCACGAAGAGGCAACCAGTGATTACATCACCATATTGCACGAAGACGCAACCAGTGATTATATCACCATAATTCACGAAGAGGCAACCAGTGCTTACATCACCATAATGCACAGTATTACTTGAATTAATATCGAAATCTATAATATCAATAAAATCTTTTACATTAATTATAATAATTTACGGAAAATAACGAAACACCTACCGAAAATTAATGAGTCTCAGGTCAATATTGCCGACCAATACTTGCTAATTTAATACTGATGGCAGTTTCTTGACAATATTGCTTGGCAAGTTTGCTTCAAAATATGATGTTTTATTGTGAACAATTAATTACTCAACATATTGTTCCTCTTTGCTTTATACTTGAACCATTAAACTGATATTTTCTTATATTTATGATAAAACAATCATTTTTCTATCCGGCGACTTTATGCTTAATTAAACCGCTACTTGTATATTCTAGAGAAAAAATTAGAGTTCTTTTTAAACTTCCTTTATGTATTCGAAATGCTAAACTTCCTTTATGTATTCGAAATGCTATCATTTTTATTTTTATGTTACTTTAATTTTTGTCTACCATTTTGGGATATTTTCCGGCGCAAACTTACATATTATCTTTATCATAACATTTCATACCAAAGTTATAATTATGAAAATGCTTATATGATAGAAGGCATATTTTTTTACTTAAAAACATATCCTTTTCTTTATCATATCGTATGTTTGCGAAAATACCTTATTTTTGGTATCCATTGATAATCGCATATCCGTTTTGACTTTTTATATTTTTCGACATTAAGTGTTTCATTGACAAAACTTTGATGAACAAGTTGAATAATAATTGACACATAACACATGTTGCAAATTTGAATGAACAGCATTTTAAAACACGCATCGAACAAAAGTTTGTCACGTAGAATACAGCAGGCCCCTAACCAGTATGATGTTGGATGTTTCCAAACCTCTTATTATATACACGTTGGCTTTTAAGAATTTGTCTTAGTTACTTTAGTGGAATAAAGAAAGTTAACACAATTTTGAAATAAATGAAACAGATGTTATTATAGGGTCCCATTTATGTATCCACTTCATTGTTTTTACTGTTTCTGTAACCATAGCAACCAGATTTCTTTGAAAAAGGGTCCATCATCTCAAGGTCATCTATCCACACATATGTACCAAGTTTCATCAATCTAGCATGAGATTATTTTGAGTAAAAAGTATATTATCATATGCTTTAGAAATCCATATCTTTTAATTCGTTAGAAATGGCAAATATATTAATAATGTTTTAAAGATATATTTATAGCATGTTTAATGTAAAACAATTGAAGAAAAAAGGTTTTAATGTGCAGAAATGTGTCATAAAGGTAGCAAAATGTAAAACAAAGTGGTATTTTTTACTTTGAAACAATAATTACCCCAATTGCCAACAGAGCTAAAGTAGAAAAAGATTTTTTTAAATAAGTATTTTTTGGAAATTGTAACAATATACCAAAAATAAAAAGGTTTTAAACAAATACAAATTGGTAGCATTTCGGGGGCCTAATGGACCTAATACAGGGTCTCACTTATGCTACATATATAGGATCCTTTTTGTGCTTATTTTACCGTTATCATAAGAAACATGTTATTGTTCAATGAGTAGACAATAACTTGTATGATTACACTGCATGCATGTTCTTTAAACAGGGCATAAACATTTACCTTTTTAAAGTCTCCCTTTTAAAATTTTCCTTTTCGATGTTTTACCGTTTCCCGTAAACCCTGCTACCTCTTTCGGTTGACGGAAAACCCTCTATCGCTATTTCCCGTTTAGTGCATGTCGAAAAATCAAGTGTAAGGGTTTTTTTTTTTTTTATATATTTGTAAATCTTTCCAAACATCAAAATTTCGGAAATCTTCCATTAATTTTGTTTAAAATTTTAAGGGAAACTTAATTTATAAGGTTTAAATTATTGGGGCGGCTTTTTCCCATTTTGAAGGATTTCATCATAAAAACAGGTTTTTTTTCCTCCAAATTTTTCATCAAAACAGCTTTCAGGAAAGACAAAACATTTAAATAATAAGGCATAGACATGAAATAAAAATTGGAATCATTTTCAAAAAATTTGTTAATAAAAAAATATAGGATGTTTGTTCTTGAGACAGCTCTAGTCAAGTAGCATAGAGCGATATTACCGTATTACTCCGAAAGAGGTAGCCCTATCATTTTTATCAGGCGTGCGTAAGCAAAGCAATACTTTTTGTGTTCAATGAGATAATTATAACGATTTTACAGGATCCAATATATGTTTTGTTCTCATTGATTGCCTCTTTAAATAACAATAACACGCATTATCTCTATCTCTATCGACAAAGTATCACCAACCTTGCTATTGTTACTTGTTCGTTTATGACAGAATCTGAATTTGTTCAGTTTGTATTGTTATACCATATTATCCTTAATAAACATTCAATAATAATTTTCATATGGTCCTCAATCCTCATACCAAGTATTACAAGAAAAGCATTGATGCAAAACATCAAAGGACGTCCAAGCAAGAAATGCAGCAAGTGAAGATGAACTAGTAGACATCAGATGACCAGATTTCTTATAAAATTTTCAATGGTTAATTGGTTTTAACAAGTATTGAATATCATTAAAATTTTATGAATCGGCGGACGAAAGACATTGTTCATCATGAACGCTAGAGATTTGAATATTATTTTTTTCCTATAGGAACTTTAATTCCATCCATGTTAACGATAATATCCAAAATATACATATCTGTAATATCAAAAAATACCCCCTCTATGGTATAAGTTTATTTATACTATATACGGGGTATTTTTATGTTTTCATTAATATTGGTAATTTGATTAGAATTTCAAGTTTATGTGGTATTTTCTTTGGAAATACAACATAATAGTCAAATGAACAAAGTCTGTTAATTGATTTATTTGGGAGGTCAATCTACAATTTTAATGACCTAGTCTGACCCATCAGTGTACATTCCTCATCTATAAACCCATAACAAACTCATGTTAAAATTGCAGACGAAGAATGATCATTCTAGGATAAAGCAATTAGTAAAAATAGCCTTTTAATTATTGCGATTCATTGTTTTAATATGTTTGCATTTCATATCCTGCAAACTTCTGTATTCGTTTGCGACATGAATGACCGTTTCGTAAACTAGAACTACTTCTATAAAAAAAAGATTTTCGAATTTTCACAATGTATTAGGTATCATTCTATTTAAAGGTAAAGCAATAAACACATAATTACCACTGTGTACTACAAAATGATTAATAAAAATACAGAAGAGCGCGATTAAATTACATAATAATTTCAAATGAATAGTTTACATTGCAAAATTATCCAGTTCGCTATTCATTTTACATATCGCGACATTTAATTTTTGATTATCAAACACTCATACCAATCGGAATGTTCGGCTATTATGGCCGACAAAAAGGCTC